CAGCCACCCCATCCCTCCCACCCCCCACCATTTCAGCAACCCTCAGTTTGTTTCCTGAGATTAAGAATTCCTCATATCTACTTTTAAAAGAGAGATGATAACATGTTAACCCACCTTAAGAGCACTGCAATGAAGATTTAGAGAGGAAAGAAGAGCAACTGGACCAGGGTCAGTAACATGACAATCGTTTGATCAACAATATTTTCTCCCATTTTAACTAAGGATTATACATCTGTTCTTTAATTGCAGGTTTTGCTTTCTCATTGTAGATGAGTGCCATATATGCAAATGCAGACATTTTAGCAAAAAAGTAAATTTAAAGTAAAATTATTATACTTGTTGGGATTACAATACGCATAGAGTGTTGTCAAGAAAAAGGTGGTAATATAAATGTTTTGTTATGGTTGTTGGATCTCATTCAATCTACATTTGCAGACTGATGGCTTCTCTATTCCCAGCACTATCATGGAGGCCGGTGATGCAAAGATAAATATTTCAGGGCTCCCAAGAAACTTAAAAGATGAATGCCCCTGATAATGATTTCAAGTATGTTTGTGACAAGTATAAATGATTCTCCATAACACAAAGGACCAAAGAGCAGGAGGAAGCAAGCTGATCATGTACCAAATCTGCCATTGTATGGCAGAATCCCCAACCTTCAGTGACTAAGGCAGTCGGCCACAGCCCCCTCTGACTCACCCTCGTAAAATATGAAGAAGCTGCTTGATGCCTCCCCAAATGCGAATTTCCACACTGGTCTCAGGGTCCTCACAAACCTGAACCAGAATCCAGACAACACTCCAGAGCAGCTTCAGGTGGTCAGAGTGGAGCAGACTAAGGAGGACGGGTATCCCTTCATAGAGCTTCACCTGCTCTTTCACTTGGGGTTCGGCACAAAGGAGGCGCAGTAACTCCGCAGTTAATCTGGAAGCGGATGGGAGGGTGGTGAGGATGAGAATCACAGCGCAGTGAGTTACTGACTCTGCATTTGGACTAGAGCTATCATCACTGTGGCGCTCTAACATTTTCTAAGTCACAGGTCAACATATGTTTTCTGTAAAGGGTTGGATCACAGCACAGTGTTTCAGGCTTTGCTAGCCATACAGCTTTGGTCAGAACTACCCAACCCAGCCAACATATGTAAAAGCAGCCATAGATAACACATAAAAAACAAATGGGCATGGCTATGTTTCAATAAATCTTTATTTACAAAAACAGGCAGGGAGCCAAATTTAGACTGTGGGTCATAGTTTGCTGACCACCGTTCTAAGTCATAGCCTCCTTGTAAGCCCACTGGTCTGGCTAAAAACCTACTAGCCAGTGAATAGATATCAGGTACATACAATGGGACCTGCACTGTGCTCAAAACAAAAGAAATAAAAGCTCTATCATAGTCTTCAGAAACTCACTATGTGGTTACAAAAACAGGACATTAAAACAAAATGCCAAAACCACTACAATGCAAGGAGATTAAATGCAATGTTCCCAGTGACTATCTGGTGTGTAAAATAAAGATAATGATAGCATAGGACACATAGGGTTCAGCAGAGCTCTGAAACATGATGATGATGGCATTGCATAGAACCATCCATAACCCTCCAGTCTCATATTCTAAACACTCTCCCTGGACAATGTCATCCATTCCCGTGACTTCAAATACCCCCTCTAACCCAGTCCTGTGAGCTCAGCCCAGGCATCACTCTCAGCCTCCAGAAGTTCTAGCCACACAGCAGTTCCACAGGTACTCATCCCACTGTGTCTCAACTCAAAGTCATTATTCTCCTCCCCAAACTGGCTCTTCCCTCTTATATCTCCAGTGTTGACTCATGATATCACAGTCTTTTTAATTTTCCAAGCCAGAAGACGGAATCATCCAAGACACTTCCTTCTCCTTTCCCAATCCACTGCTGCCTTTTTCCTAGGCAACGGCTGAGATTAATTCTCTTGCAAATCATGCAGCTGCCTAACCCCACTGCTCCTCCCATTCTTGTGATCTTTGATTGTGCTCAAGACATAAGCTTCTCCGTCACCTGCCTCTCCAATCTTCTCATGCCCACACTGCTCCACGGTTCCTTTCCCCTGAGCCAATTTTCCACAGCATCAATCCCTCCCAAACTTTTGTGTTCTGACATTCAGAATATCTGTTCTTTGGCAAATAGTGTTCTGCATCTCCTTAAACTTTCCACACCAAACATCCCCTTCCTTGTTTCTAAATGGATCTCATTGTGTGGCTATATTCCCCATGCCACACACCCCACATACTGCTATCAGAGTAATCTCCCCACAAAATGAATCTGATCATGCTTAAAATCTTTCTGTAAGTCCCCATAATGTGCATGGATAAAAAACACACTCTTATTCGGCACAAAGAGCCCACTGTGACCTGGCTAAAAGCATCTTGTTGCCTCCTCTATAAAATATGGAAATTGATGGGTTACTGTGCAGATCAAATGAATTAACACACAAAAGTGCTTAAAGCAGGATCTAGCATATAGAGAAAGCCAGACCAAAATTTGCTATATTTTTAACTTATCGTTAACTGTCTAATCTAGTTTTCTGTTCCAGCTGTGCCCAATCACGCAGTTCCTCTAATACAGACAAATTCATGCCTCCAAACAGCACATTCTGTTTCCACTTGTTCTCTCCCTTTGCCTAGATAACTCCCTTTTCCTTCAGGAAACTTGGTGTGGCCCCTGGCTGTGACTGGGAGCTTCTGCTCTATGTTTCCAGAGTGTCCTGTGCATCCGTTAACCACACCACTTACAGTGCTATGGTGAAACCACTGACCTGCATGCCTGTCCCCTCTCCTACACTACACACTCTATCTCATTCATCTCTGGTGTTCTAACACCTGTGCAGAGGTTGTTTTCCTAGAAACGAGTTCAGGTACACAGGTCTATAAGTATAGTTTGTACAAGAGGATAAAATTGACTTTGAAGAAAGACTCACGGGGATTTACTATGGTTAAGTGTCTGGGTTTCATTACTTGATATTTCTGTTATCTGTTTTACCTCTTCAGAAAATCATGACTTACTTAACTAAATATCAAATGATGTAGGTTGCAACTCTATTTAAAAACAACCTAGTAACTAACGGAATACAGTAATTCTTTAGAGCAATATGTAGTTCAATTGAAAATGAATACATTTTAGATTCTGTTTGGAGTTATAATAACAGGTGGTCATGAAACAAGTCAGCAGCTATACTAATTTATTTTACGTTCCTTAAGTGGAATAGATTTTAACAATCTAATAATTTATTCAATATACAATCTGAAATTACTAAAAATAGAGCCACCTCAGAGTTTCTTTCCTTAAAAAGACAGGATGTAAAAAAAATTCAATAAACAAAAATATTAAAGATGTGATCATAAGATTTATATAATTCAATTCTATGCCCAGATCTAGAAGTGATGCAAGACCAAAGATAAATCAATACACCTCTTTGTTCTAGTTTCTCTATAAAAACTTAAATAGAAAATAGAAAATAAATGTCAAGGTGACTCATGCCATTCAGTTAATAATGTAAATAGCATGACATAATAAATGTAACAATTATCATTTTCATCAAATATGACATTGTCTTTTCCCCTGTGAGCAATCCTACCTTTTGGAAAGCAAGTCATATTCATGCAAAATCATCAGCAGATTTTCTACAATGTTGAGTTCACTTATCTTCTCCCTACATTCTGGACTACAAATTGAAAACTATTAGTAACTACTAAAAACATACTTTACCATATCCATTCATTTAATACCCTCGTTCTCATATTATCTCAGGAGGAAAAACAAAAAGCAATATAGCTCCATGGGGTCGGGCTACATCAAATTCCAACATTCAACAAATGTTGTATGTCATCAATTTAAATTTGTTTCATAACAGTATCATGATAACATGATTCCCTTTCTCCAAAAAGAATAATAGGCTTTTCATTAAAAAGGTAATAATCGGCATTATTCACAACAGCCAAGACATAAAAATGACCTATATGGGCCTACATAAATATAATCGAATATTATTATTTATTCATAAAAAAGAAGGAATCTCTGCCATTTGTGACAACATGGGTGAACCTGAAAGGAACTGTGCTAAGGTAACTACTGTATGATATCAGATATATGTGGAATCTAAAACAAAAAACAAAAGAACTGATCACATAGAAATAGAGATTAGCATGGTGAGTGATTGGTAGGAGCTAGACAGGAGGGAAATATGGATTAAAGGGCACAAACTTTCAGTTATAAGAAGGAGTACTAAGGATCTAATGTGCAGCATGGAGACCACAGTTAGTATGGTATTTTATACTTGAAAGTTGATGAGAGCACATCTTAAGTGTTTTTATTGCGCACACACAAAAAAAGTATGTGATATGATGAATATATTAATTCTCTTGAACTTGCTAATTATTCCATACACATAATGTATATCAAATCATCATGTTGTACACTTTAAACATATGCAGTTATAGTGTGTCAATTATTCCATAGAAAGTTTAAAAAATAAAAACAAAAAAAAGCATTGATTCACTTACTGGCATAAAAATATATTTAAAACACTTTTATTTAAAATAATCATGATGTCTATAAGGGAACATGTTATCCAGAATTGTTTTAAGGGCAAAAGTGTTTGAAAATGTTTTATATGTTAGAATGAATATACAGGAGAGAACTTTTTTTTTTTTTTAAAGTCAGGGAGATATAGTTGTCAAAGAAATACTACTGTTATTTTGAAAGTGAAAGTATCTGAAGGTTGGATGAAAGACTAGGTAGGTATTTCTGGTCAGGGAAAATAGAAGAAACTGATTTTCCTTTCCAACTTAAGTTTTAAAATGATGCTTTTTCATTCAGAATCCTCTTCAATATATTAATGCTACTTCATGCTTATTTTTCAAATTATAACTAAGTAAGTAAGTAACTAGAGAAACTGATCTATTATTCGTCTTTCCCACCTGAACTACTATGGCAGTGGAACTGGAAAGATATTAAAATACACTTACCTTTCAGCTAAACTAGCCAGAGCCAGAAGGGCACCCAACAAAACATTAGTATCTCGGGCACCAAGTAAATTTACTAATGTCTGAAAAATGAAGTAAAAGAAAGTTTCATTGTGTAAGTACTACAAGCTTCTTGAGTGGTATAATGTTTCTTTCAAAGATCATTGAGGCTTAACCCCAAGAGGAGTTTTTTTATTAAACATTCACCATACCCAGCTCTTTCAGGGGGCAGGACCCCTTCCTGCTTTGAAACTCAACGCTAGATCCTTGTGGCCATTCCTTACCCAGGGCAGGAAGCAAAGGGGACCAAGATACATGGCCAAGGTTCTCACTCTTCCCTCTATTTTCATGTGCCCAGGATGTCCCCTCTGCCTCTTCTGGCCTCTCCCCAAGGAGAAGTAGGGAGACTAATGATAGGAAGTACAATACTGGTAGTAACCAGTCATTGTTTTTGAGTTCATGTTTTGAACTCCTTCTGAACTAGGCATTGTGGTAGGCCCTTTCCCACAAAGTATTGAAAACTGTCTTTTCTCCCCCAAACTAAGCAAGATGTCAACATTACCAAGCACTTCATTTGCCTCTCAGATTTCTAATGATGTAGAAAGAGCATAAATTGAGGCTTCCAGACATCATGCTAAATAACATGACTTAACTGGAAGTCTGTACCTTATCAGTTGCCCTTTCTGAATTCCCATTAATGCAAATTCATTCCTCTTTTCTCTAGACTTTTAGAACTCAGAGTCCCCCAAAAGTACACACCCAGACATATTTCAGGCCAGAGCTGTGAGCCAAGTAACAACTGCTTGGCTGATTTTTGGTTCCTGTTACGTCAATTTTCCCCTTTATGATTTCATTCACTTTTTTATGAAGCTATCATTATCTTTATTTCTTTGATCCCCTCCTCTTATTCTTCTCTCACTTTTTTCTCTGATCTCCTAACACAACAATGTTCTCCAAACTTCAGTCACTGACATAACATTCCCACAATTTTTGCCATATCCACTTAACTCCTTAATTAATGCTACTCAAAAATGTTCCTCAAATTCTAAGTGGTAATATCAGTGAAATATATGTAGCTATTGAAATGAAAAGCGTTGATTTGTATATGACCTAGAATCATCTCCTATACAATGAGCAGCACGTGTGAACACATTTTATGCAACCTTGCTCTAATATATACTCGACAGTGGCCTCTTGGGATATGAGAAATCAACAGCTTATTGAAAACTGGCTGTAGGCAGCTACCATCTAAATAGTCTTGCTATATATATAAATTTAGTCTGTTTCGACTAAACCAGCACCCATTCATCTTGAAATGTATATTTGATCCATATGCTTATAATACTTTACCATCTGATTATAAGGTTTAACCATATGAAATTGCCCAATAGACATACAATTTCATATGGTTCAAGCATATATATAACTCCATGTGCCATAAGGAATGTATTTATATGTATACACACACTTTATTTGTTCATTTGTAAATACACACTTAGGGGCAGTTTATATATAGCCAGGGTTTCTCAAGCAACATTTAAATAAAGCAACAAACTTGGTTGTTAATAAGTGGCATAGGAAAAAGGAAAAAAAAAAAAAGTTTCAGAAAACCTGTTTGCTATTTCTATATTTACTCCTTAGGCTGATAAAGAATATTAAAGGGTTGGCAGAGATTTACAATTCTAGGCTAGGTTAGCAGGTCTGTGAACTATAATTATAAGAAACTTGATCAAGGGGCTCTGAACCCCAGCATTGGAACCACCGCCATATGGAGGTGAAGTGTTCACTCCTTCTGGGACTACTCACCTTATGTGCTCCGCTTGTGGTGACCCATTCTCTTTGGTCTTTGACAGCAGCAAGTTTTTGAAAAATATCTATAAAGAAAGGAAATAATTCAAAGAGGGATTCAGCACTTAAAGGCAGAAGTATGCATGGAACCTCAGGTCTAAAAGTACTGATGGGCAAACAGAAAGGCCACATGGGCAGACAGATAACAAAAAAGGAACAATGGAGGGAGGAGGAACAGGGTTACTTTTTTTTTTTTTTTTTACTCTGAGAATTACCTCTTAAGCTCAAATAATAATTATTATATATTTCTATTATAGTAATAAAATATGGAGACAGCAAAAAAGGCAAACATCTCCTTCCGCTTAAAGTTGAATGAGTTCCTCAACATCGTTGCAAGTTCAAAGTGAAACCTACTCTTCAAATATCCTCCCTATAAAGATTTCAAATATAAAGAGGAGAGGAAGGCCACTGAAGGTGATGGACCTAGCAAGGTTCCTCCGCTGAGGGGAACAGTTGTTCTCAAAGAAACTTCCTGGTGCCTAGCGCTAACCACGTACTCTCCTCTCCCTGTAACTGAGAATCAGTGTGCTGTCCTGGAAACAAATACGGGAAACCAGATCATTCAAAGAAAATGGGCTAGCATCCACAGCAACAGGGGACCTACAGCTCATCAAGCCTGGAGAGGAAGCAAGGTGGGGCTGGAAAGAGCCTCCAGAGAGAGAAGATTGAATTCCACACACACAGACCCATGTTTTCACATTCTCATCATTACATCAGGCTCTTTTTTTTCTTTTTTATGTTCACAAAGTTTTAAATTTTATGAGGTAGGTATTATTATTAACAAAACTTTATAGATGAAAAGTGAATAGCCTCTGACATTTTAATAGAAATCAAAGGAAGCAAAAAACATTTTTACCAAAATCTGCCATTATGGAAGTCCCTCTTGCATTAAAATAAACTTGTGCTCAGTGAAAATCTTCAACGTGAAATTGGGCTTTTCAAGGTAAGAGTTGCAATCTAAAGTTTTCCTTATGGGTATATTTTGCCACTGAATGTAACAACTGGCATGGACTCCCAATACTAGAACTGTGGATGGGTATACTCATAAATATTCAAAGGATCCTTTTTCCTGTTGAAAACGCCATCCTGCTCACTTGGCAAGTGGGAAAAGTTGCCATGTCCTCACGACGACACTTACACGTCATGTTGACCAGCTTGTCCACACTGTGCGGCTCCTCTCCATAGCCTAGGTACTCATTGGCCACAGTCTCCATGTACTGCAGGAGGGACCAAACCAACAAGAGTCAGAAGGAAAGATTAGTAAAAGCACACAAGCAGATAAGGGACAAGATGTGTACTTCTGAAAATGAGCTGTAGATGGCACAACAGATACACCAAATAATACTCAGGGCCTCTGGGCCAGGTTCACTCAAGTGCAAAAGGTAGCTTGAGTTTCTAGATTCTTTGCCTTCTCTTGCATGCCCTGAAGTTGAGGGCGGGACCATGGAAAGACTGTATAAACTCTCAAAAAATGACTTGTCACTAAGTAAGTTTGTGGTGTAATTTGGTTCCAAATACAAAAAAATTATATCTAACCAGCATACACACCAATAGCTGTAATCAGAATAAAATGGGTGTGGGTAGTCTGATAATCACTCACTGCAGATAACTGGTTATAATAAGAAATAGGCTCAGAGAAACACACAAAAATTCTAAGAAGACCAGGGAAGTTAAGGTGGGTAAGAGGATCCTTTATAATATAATTTTATGAAAGACAGTCATTTCATTAAATGAGGTAAACCTCCAGCCAATTAAAAAAAAAAAAATCTTAAAAACAAAAACCAGTCATGTTGCAGCAATTTCCCAAGAATGAAAATATAATAAAATATAATAGATTTAGCATTAACCTGCCATTGAACTTACTCTTCCATTAATAATACAGAATGAGTTTGCAGGGCCAAAAGTCCATTATGAAAATCATTCTTTCTCTATGTGGTAGGACAGTGGGCTGATCCAACCCAATGCCATGCCTAGAAATTTTGCCTTATCATACTAATAAACCCAAACATTTGACTGGCTCAACCTGCTTACCTTCCCTCAGTAGTTACAAAAGCAGAAAAATAAATGAAGTTAAGATCATTCCTCACATTGTCATGTATTTGGAAATATTTTAGTGAGCATAATTCTTTTTGTGTGAAACAATTATGAACATCTTTATAACCAATATTTTCTTCCATCATTTGGTATGTGCAATGCTGAGGAGCTGGGCCTGCCAGCCAACACCTACTTCTTTTCATGACTAACTGAAGACATGTGACCTTTTATAGAACTTTCTTGTTTCAGCAGGCTGGGTAAAATTAGCTGGAACAAAATGTCATGGGTCCCTTCCTGCTCTGTGAGTATCCTGCCTCACACACACTTATCCACCCTGCCTGCCCCTCCCCTTGGCAGGCAGCCTAAAGTAAGAAAGCCACCTGCAGTCACACACCTATGTAATCCTTGCCCAGAGCCATGGCACCAAATGGAAAGGCAAGACCAGCCACCATAAGGGAATCTTACCTGAGCTAGGTTTTCAATTCCACCCAAGCTATGGAGTATTTCCTAATAAAACAAAAACAACAGAACAACACAAAAGATGAGGGTGGAGGGAGAAATATATTTTACATGGAAGTTCTTTATTAAATCATGAGATTGATAATTATTTTTTAAAGGTTCACATTCTAACATAAATATGCAGCTCTTTAATGTTTTTATTTATACCACATTTAAGATAAACTGTTAATAAATACAAAAGTTGGGTTGAAATTAAAAGAATGAAAATATGCTCAGACCTGCAGCCTGACTCCTCATTCTTTCTACTTCCCCTCATGTCATCATAAAATGTTAGAGATGGAAAGAGCTATTAAGGTATTGTTCCCTCACATTGCAGATTAGGACAACTAAGGCCCAGAAAGGTAAGCCACTTTGCCTAAGTGACCAGCCTGGAGAGGAATGGAATCCAGCATCACCAACTCCCACAACCTTCCTGTAGGCCCCTGCCTAGTGTGGTCCATGGACAGCAGCATCAGCCTCACGGAGAAGCTGGTTAGAAATGCAGAATCTCCTCCTCACCCCAAACCTGCTGAATCACATTCTGAATTTCCACAAGATTCCCAGGTAATTCACAGACAGTAAAAGTTGACTAGAATTGCTCTAGACTATAGGGCTCTTCCTTAAAATGAAGAGGCTAATGGTCTTATTAAAACCCATACTTTAAACGAAGGTAAGAATAATCATCACAAAATGTCTCCTGATACAGATTTTTAAATCCAATTCCCAATAAGAAGACGTTTCATGAAACTTCTGAAACTACTCTATGAGTAGTAATTAGGGAAGACGGGGTGGGAGGCTACAGTCATGAGAGGGACCAACTTGGAACTCTATTAATAGCAAGTGCTCTCAGATTATCCACATTGACATTTATCTTCAGGCAGACGTGTTTCAAGTGACCCTAACCTGTTTAATTAAAGCTGTACTCTCCTTAACATACACACAAGGAAGTCCTTTGAAAAATAAATATTAGCCATCATTCCAATTCTGAGAAATGCATGGCGATGAGTACTTGAGTGTGAGGGAGAACAATCTAGTTCCACCTTGAAGCCAACTGAGTGGACAGGCTGAAAAAAGGCTCAAGATTCTTAAGGCCTCCTGGTCAAGGTTTCCTTATTGTATATGCAGGGAATTTGGAAACACTAAACATACCCATGTTTAAATTAAGTATGAAGCGACATTTACAACTCAATTAAAAATAGATCTGTGACTACCCACTAATTTGAATTTTCACCATTGCTATTCACTCTAGAAGAGCTATAATTAAAGAACAGAAGAATACTGTATACATTATTCCTGCTTATGGCAGAATATTTTACACATATAAAAATAACATTTTAACACTACTAATGTTTATTCAACAATTTTTTTTTCATTCTTATTATATAAAAGCCCTGTGTCAGGCTCTGAAGAGGACACAAATATGCAGATGACTGAGGCCGACCTCACTGAGCTTTAGGCAAGCATATGGTAGATATACAAACAACTGGCATTTAAGACAGAATTTGGTAAGTGTGATAAGAAAGTTATACATGAACTGCTATGATGTCCCAGGAGGGACACATGATATCCTGCTGAGAGGACTATGGAAAATGTCATAAGGGTGGTGGCCTTGGAAAAGGTTTAGAAGGATGGATAGATCGGCTGAGAAGAAAAATCAGGGAGATTCCAAGCAAAGAGAACAAAAGGTCCAAAAGTGCACAGAAGTTGTGCAGAAAGAACATCAACGTGTTCCATAACTCCAAGAAGCACTTCCATAACTCTATGAACGGCATTCCTGGGAATAATGTCAGAAAAGCGTGGTAGGACCAAACTGTGGGAAGACTTATCTGTGAGCCTGAATCTGACCTTCATCACATGGACCATGAGATGGGATGAAAACACTGTGTGAATAAGGGATGATTAGAATCAGCTGTGAGGATCCCCCTCTGGTTTTTCAATGAACTAGAGAGGGAAAGAGAGCCACCCAGAAGCCCAGTTGGTTGGCAGTGGCACTGGGCAGAAGAATGGAGAGGTGGAGATAAGTCTAGGAAGTAGTGTGATCAACCAAACATGAAGACATGCTGGAAGAAAAGAAACAATATTTGAGCCTGGGGACTGAGGGGCAGCAAGATATTATAACAGACCCAGGGAAGGAGAGAGGAGGAGTCTAGGTTAGAGAAGACTCCACTTGGGACATACTAAGCTGCTGATGGGATGTTCACTTGAGAAAAGTAGAAGAGGCCATGAAAGACGAGGTAAGGGCAAAACATTGAAATCTGAGAGTCTCTTAAAGGAGATTTAAATTTGAAGCTTGGGAGTGAGAAGACACCAAGGGAGAGAAAAATGTTTAAATGATTGGTCACAGGGCGCCTAGGTGGCTCAGTTGGTTAAACATCTGACTTTGGCTCAGGTCATGATCTCAGGGTCCAGCCCAGTGTCAGGCTCCCCACTCAGCAGGGAATCTGATGTCCCTCTGCCCTTTCCCCCATTCGTGCTCTCTCTCTCTCAAATAAATAAATAAAATCTTTAAAAAAATAAATAAATAAATGATTGGCATGGTCATTTTTAAATTTTTACCTTGACAAGTAACATATCTATCCAATAATTGCTATTAACAATTTGGGACTAACTTCCATTTCCCAAACTCTGTTCTGGGAATAGCCCTTTTACTGTGCAGTGGGTGGTATTAGACATTCTGTTTTAAAAATAATAATAATAATTTCATGACAAAATTCAAATTAGCTTGGGAAATGATATGTTGAACATAGTTTGACAAATGCTTTTATCATAGGACCCCTCAGAGCCTTTAACATGCTGCAGGGCGTTCTAAGCCTCCAATGCAAGGACTGAGGTGCAGCTTTTCCCAAACATCATTAATTGAAGCACACTTCTTTTCACAGAATGCATATTAACTCCTGTGGAACACAGGAGTTTGAGAAGCACTGTTATGAAGTATAGGAAGGGGACAGAGGCTTTGTCACTCTCTGAGAATGTCGTTGTTACATACTCAAGAATTTACCCTTCATTTATGAAATAAACACTCCCCCCTCCCCCATGCTTCTGGGTAGACTGGAGCAAGGCCAGGAGATTGATTGCTCACAGACTCCTGGTCTTCCTTATGTTTCCTTTCGTCATACCAATGTGACTGCTTTCATCTGAGAGTGTCAACTGGAGAAAACCAAGACCACAAGGTATGCACATACCCGGGCTTAACAGTTCTGGGTCCTAATCTGAAAAGCAAATATGACTGCACGCTTGAATTACAGCAACACTTCCTGGGTGCCCTGTCGGATCTCAGCATTTTCTCCCTGGTCACAAGCCCGAGGGTCACAAGACTGGGTTCAGTACCTCTGAGCCCAGTGACTTGGAGAAAGTCCCCAAGTCAATCTGCCCTTTAGTTCAATGTACGATATGTAACGAATGTCCTTGCTCTGACTAGTCCCTGAGGTTTTCCTTTACAAAAAAAAAAAAAAAAAAGGTACAATACTGTAGTACAGATAACGAGTATGTTCTCAAAAAACGGAGCACAATGCAGCACCCAGATGCGTGTTGTCAGTGCATCACTGTTTTTGCCACAGCTGGAAATGTCAGTGCCCTTAGAGGCTCTCATCCTAGACCGAGTCAGCAGCCAAATCAAGGCCAGACACACTGCAGTGAGCCCTTCATAGTGAATCACAGATGGGATCACTCTACTCTGCTGTTCAAAACTCAAGAGTGGTTCCACGCTGCTCATTCCTGGGTCATGATTTTCAGGCCCCTGTATGCGCTGGCATCTTATCGTTCCAGATGGAAGAGCAATACTCTTCGATAAACTTGCTTATGCTCTATTTGTAGGGAGTCAAAGGGAAATATAAGAGATGGTTCAAAGATCCTTACCTTGGAGTCTGGAGGAAAGGAGGTGCCACTAAAAGGATTAGGAGTTGGTTCTGAAGGTTCAAGGTGAGAGGAAAGAGCAAAGAGTTCCATTTTAAAGTTATTGAGTGGAATGCACTCCCACAGTGCTTCTCAAACTCTTTGGTCTCTGTACTCCTTTACACTCTTAAAAATTACTGAGAACCTCAGAGAGTTCTGTTTATGTGGGTTATATCTATGTACCATATTAGAACTTAAATGTGAGAAATTTTTAAAGCACAGTACACAAGCACCTGTTCCCTCAGCCCTCAGAGCGGTGACCTTGTCACACATCCTGTCGCCTCTGGAGAATTCCATTGCACACATGTAAGACAGTGAGTGTGAAAAGGCAAACAACATCGTGGCATTATTTTTAAGATATTTTAGGCCTGGTGGAACCCCTGAAAGGGTTTCAGAGACCCATAAGCAGTCCCCAGGTCATACTTTGAGAACCATGGCCATCCAAAATACCCCTGGAAATTTGGGACTTACATAAAGACACAAGTTTGAGACCGGAGATAAGTACTTGTGAGCAAAAAACAATGCCAACCACAAGAGTTAAAGCCAAGAGGGTGGAAGATAGGGGAGAAGATGATTAAAGAAAAGAACTTTGGGAAGGTCAACATTTAGGAAGGCAGGATTAAGAAAAAGAGCAAGTAAATAATACATAAAGGTGCAAAGTGCTGAGGAAGAGCTAGAGCCCCATGGGATGGGTGAAGGCAAACAGGTAATGTGGGAAAGGCTGTGTGCTCTTACAGGAGTTGAGGAATGCAGGTGCTGGGAAAAGGTCACTCAGCCTGACTATCTTTTTATTGTGGTTTCTAATATAATTGTAGGCAGCAGCTTTTAAGATCTTCACTGTATCATCAATAAGCAATGTGCTCCGGCTTCACAGGAACGCGTGCAGGTGGGCATTTATCTTTATGCTGCGTGGGCCTCTTACTATACATGAAATCTCAGAACATATGTCTTTCTTTAATTATGACAAACTCTATGCATGTATACCTTTAAAATGGCTTCTCTTTCATTCCTTCCAGTTTTTTTCTTGCTGGAATCTCCATTAAGCATATACTGAAGTCTCTGGCAGGCAAGAGCCAATCTACAAGCCACCAGTCTGCAACCTCTGGATCAAGGAATGCTGACTGAAGTATGGCTTCCAGGCAGAACCTTGTACACAAAATTCAGTGTGCAAGTTATGCAGCCCATCAGTCCTGACAGAAAGGAAGTACGTTCAAGAGACACAGCCTGACCTTTCAAGAAATGGAGTAATGAAGGTAAGGTGAAGATCTGAAGGGGTGTCTGGTTCAAGGAAAGGACATTTTTATGATAATGGAAAATAGAAATGGAGCCACTGACATAGTAAGAAAGAGAATAGGTAGAGAGGTAAGCCTTGGCAAACAGGAGGGATATTTCTTCTGAAAGAAGAAGAACATAAAGTTTCGAGATAATCCCAATATTTCAAGCAACAAAGAAGAGATAATAAGAGAGCTCCCACTGGGATGGCTTTGGTTTTCTCCATAAAACAGACTATGCTGTGATTTGGTGAGAATGACAGGGGTAGGAGGGTGTTGGGGTATGAGAAGTGGACCTGGTTTGGACCAGCCACTGTGGGTCCTGTAGCACTGACTCAACAAGAGAGGAATGCCTAGCAAGGGTGAAGACTGGCTGAGATTCACCGGCATAAATTATAGTAAATCACAGCAAAGCTTTGTGACTTCAGCCAACAATTCTTGGCAACTCAAGAAGTTAAACAATTGCCTGAGCACATGCTCTTCTTTGTAGAAAGAGAGCCAGGGGGCAGAGATTCAGAGAGAATCCCCTTCTATGGAAAGGCTAGAAATCAGGGAAAGACTTCATTTAATATATGTTTAGTCACAAAATCCCATAAACAAAGAGGTCAGTGAATTCTTTCCTGGAGAGAGCAGGGCAATCAACCCTGTCCCAATCCGTCAAGAACTAGACTAAGAAAGGCAATACTTTATTGCATGGAGCACTGGGTGTTATAAGCAAACAATGAATCACGGAACACTACATCAAATAAATAAATAAATAAATAAATAAATAAATAAATAAAAGGCAATACTTTAGCTGGAGATCAGCAGAGCATGAGACAACTGTCATCAATTCTCTGAACAAACAGAACATCTTAGAGAACATCTATTTTACTAACTTCTGTAAGTCAAAAAACTAGATCTCCTGCTAACAATCCACCGTCGTGAGAGTCAAAGAGGGTGTTATTAATAATTAAGTGGGAACAATGAGCACATTCTGGGACTGATCCAGGCAAAATGGAACACATGGTCCACCCTTATTAGATATGTCCCACACAGAACTGCAAATGGCAGCTCAGAAATACATGGAACATACAGTTCTGTAAGGCTGGTCATGGGGGAAAAAGGATGCTATCTTCCCAGAAAACTTTGAGCAACCAGGACAGAAAGCCATTTGGAGTGTGCCCTGAGGCCCACAGTCAAAGGGCTACTAGCTAAAATGATAATAGCACAAAGCCCGTTCAGAATACCAATGAGGAAGTGGTGATTCTTCTAAAGGAAAGATGTGGAACCACCATGAATCCCAGAAGTCTCAAATCAGAGCAGGCTCTGTAGCTGACTAGTGCCAAAAACATTTTTTAAGTGCCAATTTGGAAAAGACGGTTATTGGGTAATGAAAAGAGCCACATTCTGACTCAAACAATTCATCAGTAAAATCAAATCCAGAATAAAAGATCTTCTGAGTGGTCTGAGCTTCCTAGTAGCTTATCAGGACAGGGTGTAAAAGGAGATGCTTCTTAGGGGGGAAAAAATCCGTGAAAATTACTGAAGCATGTATGAATACTAAGAACACTCTAGATATTTAACACTGGCAAGCAGAAACAACAATGACTAAATAAACAATCTTGAGGCTTTGGAGCAGTGGTTCTCCAACTGTGGTCCCCTGACAAGCAGCATCAGCATTACCTGGGAACTTACTGGAAATGCAGATCTTTGGGCCCTCCCCAAACCTACTGAATCAGAAACTGTGGTGATGGGCCCTAGCCATCATGGAGTCCTCCAAGTGCTTCTGATGCACACAAAAGTGTGCAAGCTGCTATTTGATGGAGGCACCTATCTACCAGCCAGTACTGGAAGAAATAACTTTCAAGGTCCGGGTGAAATGTCAGCTAAGCTTTTCTTTAGAGCCTCACGGCGAAAGCACTAAGTCCTGGCTATACAACGTGTGGCATGGGCATCCTCTGGAAACCTGTTAGAAATGCAGAGTCTTGGGCCTCATTGTGTACCTGCCAAATCAGAATCTGCAATTTACAAGATTCCCAGGGGATTCCTAGGGGCATTAAAGTTTAAGAAGCACTAAACAAGAGAAGCACTAAACAAGTGAGAGGAGGGAAAGTTTCTTGACCTCGCAACCCTCATTTGAGACAGACGGGAGGTCCCTTGCTCACCTTTAACTCAAGGTCTGAGGCTGGACGTGGGGAAGGGCATGGACCCTGGAGCAGCTGCCAAAACTGCAGGCCCTGCCTTTCCCACTGACTGCCTCTGGAGCCCCTGAGAAGGCCCCTGCTTGTCACGGCTGACGTTGACCTAGTGAGCTGCTGAGCCTTGAAAACACACTCAAAGGTGTGGCCAAGTGTACACCCCTCTGAATTGCCTGTGGTTTAAGACATACACCAAAAGTTCCATCCACTTAATCCCACGGTTCATATAGCAGAAACATATTTTTTGTCTCTATTAAATCATGTCTCTCATATCTTTTTAAATAGCAAGTGAGATACCTCCTAAATTTGAAAGCTATTGAGTTGTGAGAGAGAAAATAAGGTTAACATGGCCCAGGTTTTTTTTATCTCATCTTCATAACAAGTAAGTATTTTTATTTTTTCCAACCAACCTGATAACATGGATCCCTCATTAGTAGTCTCAGACAGATTAACACTCTCAGAAAGTGAATAGATGGGGCTCGATGAACCCACTCTCTGAAAGAAGAAAAGAAAGAGAAAGCATGTTTGTCCATGTTTAAAAGGCCACTGTGACAGAACAACACAAGACGATGAAGGAGAATAAGGAACATACAAAGGAATAGCACTAGTTCATTTCAAACTTAATCTGCAATAAGGACTGTTAGTTGGTACCTGAACATTTAATCTACTGTAGTGCAAAACACATAAAAACTGTCATTATCATCATGAAGCAGAGGCCCCAAAATTATTTGGCTCTCAGTGCCCTTTTTGGCTGAGGGCAGCGCCAGACCAAAAGACATAGCTAAACGTTCCAATAATTAGGTTTGACTTAATAAGAATTTATGCCCTGATAACTTCGTATCCATTTGAGAAAAATAATACACATACATTATAAGAAAAATGCTTTTATTTTATTCTTGATCACATTTACTTATGATTGGGGTGTGTGCACCTGTAGGCTCTAAACAAATTCTCAAGCCTTGTAACCAGATTGCAGACTACCATCTTCATCTCCTCTTCCAGCTGATTTTCACATCATACTTGCTTTATCATGACAACCACGGAAAACCCAGTTTCAGAAAGCTATGGCATCATCTAAAGGAAGGCAGCACAACCTTCATATGGAAACCATAAAGTATCTGGGTCTGACAGATACCGCATAGCTCTGTTTTCCCTGCAAATTTATTTTTTTTTAAAGATTTTTTTTTATTTATTTATTTGAGAGAGAGAATGAGAGAGAGAGAGAGCACATGAGAGAGGGGAGGGTCAGAGGGAGAAGCAGACTCCCTGCTGAGCAGGGAGCCCGATGCGGGACTCGATCCCGGGACTCCAGGATCATGACCTGAGCCGAAGGCAGTCGCTCAACCAACTGAGCCACCCAGGCGCCCTCCCTGCAAATTTAAAAGACCCCATGACACCCCTGGGGGTTCTCTGTAGCCTCCAGAGCACTTTAGTGGGCAGCTTGGAAAACACTGTGATAAAGTATTTTCTTATATCAGTCTCCCTGGAAGCGGAGCCTGAGACGAAGGTTGGTGTGCAGGTGAATGATTAAGGACATGCTCTCGGGGGAGACCATTGAGAGTGGGGAGTACCAAGAAGGGGGAAGGCAAGCATGAGCACCATCTCAAGCAACACTTGTCTCCCACTGCCCCCTAAGCTAGTCCGACAGTGGCGCTTGGTGGAGATGTTAACAAAACCCTAAAACAAAAAGTGTCTGTTACTCCATAGTTAGCCAAGGAAAACTGGGGAAGATAACAAAAGCTATTCCAGACTAGAATCCACGTAATTTCTCCCACCCTCTCCCATCTCCACAGCTAAGGTAGTTATGCATCCAGCAAGGTTAGGAGACTTTAAAGATCTGCCCTTCCATCAAGTGGAATCTTTGCTTAAGCTGAGGTCCCAAGCCAACCCTTGCCTGGCCTGCCTCCTATTAATCCTTGGCCTTTGGTGGTAGAATTCAGCTTCGTCTCCTCCACGGTCCTGAGAAATTCAGCTCTGCCCCCAAACCAGCACATCTCAAAATTGAGTGCACAAGACCCACCCTCCTCAAAAGCAGAATGAACATCTACAGTCACTGCCCCTGGAGGTGTCACCCCACCCCCACCTGATTCTACTCCATCCCAAATCCTATCCACTAAGACTTAGCTCATGGGAAGGAGGTTGGTAAATATGCTTTTCCCATAGTCTTATATTCCCAGGGATGCTTGAGTGCTCCTGATAGATTAGAGGCCCTGTCAGAGGCCTTGCTCTGCAGAGAGAAGCGGAGCAAGATGTTCCCAATGCATCACTGGCTGAGAATTGTTCTTCCTGCCATCACCAGGGCTCCTGGCAGGAGCTGCCCACCATAGCTACCATCAAACCATGGCCCTCCTCCAGCCCAGTCACCATGACAGTGACACCTTTGCTATGGAGGCAAAGCTCAGTTTCTTCTGAGAATAAAGGCAGGACTCAACCCATCCAAGGGCTGCCAGCCAGGCAGAATTAGCCAACGCCACACTGGGAAGCTGCACTATAGTTCATCCAGACTTCCTTGCATGGGGAAAAATAATGCAAATTCGAAATACACTTTGAATTTAAAACAATCACCTGTGGGAACATTTGTAAGGATGTGGTTATTCTGAGGCTCCTATTACAGAGAGAATACCTTTAACCTTTATAAATAGGGAGATGGCACATGACTGCTTTCCCTTTCAGGTGCTGGGGTTAGCTAAAGATAGCCTGGACTGTAGTGCAAAGATACGACATCCCAAAGATCTAACAGAAATAATGATCAAGTTGCAACAGCTGCTAAAAACCTAATGAGGTTTAATGCTGATTGCTTTTCATCATTTAAGAGGAAAAGCTACGGGACATATTAAGAGGTGATTCATGCTACAAATATGTGTGCACTGGTATTTTTCCTGTTAACTATATACACTCTTCATGAGGAAAGTTCATGACCTTTGCAATGTTTTTCATATTAAAATAAATATGAAAAGTTTTCTTCTATTTCCTCCCCCCTCTAAAAAAGAAAAGAAAAAAAATTCCAGAATAGGCTTCTTAAAATTATTATTATTAAAGGAGTATAAATAAATGAGTTCCAGAAAAGTCTCAGAGTTAAAAGTTCTGTTCCAAGCAAATGGCATTTTTTGTTTTGCAATTTTGGGACTGAAGCCCAAAGCTATTAATATTTCTACGTGATTCTGGCCTCTGCTGTTGTAAATGTAAATAGAATTCCTGGTGTCTGAGTCCTCTGGCTTCTCCTCTCTGAGCACTGACCTCTGAAGGAGCAGTTGTTCCTTCCTTGGCTCCCAGCCCTGAACCCCCCACAAGGACGCAGCACATGGGATGGAGCTCTGGTATTCAAGAGGAATGGAGTGTTCTGTAAGACGATATAGATCTCTGTTTGCCAAGAGTTGGGGTACCAGGAAGCACACAATTTAGTGCAACCAGAGAATTACAGAGAATAATAGCGACCGATCGTAAAGGCGGGTACCCTCGTTCCACTGAGGCAGTCCCAATGGGTTGCTTAAATTCAAAGTGGCTGGCCCAAGGCTGCACATGAGAGCAGACCTGGGGACTGACTCCTGGGCCAGTGCTCCAGTTGTCCCTCCCATCCCCACTCCAGGTCCCCCAGGCGGGGGTGACTAGGGAGACAGTGACTCTCCAAACCGCATCTACTCTGGGAGCAGGAATGTTGAGCACAGCAGCCGGGGGTCCTCTGAGGCAGCTCTGAAGAAGCTGTCTGTCTGCAAAGATAGTGTTTCCCTGGAGGGTATGTCCCAATATAGCCGCCACACAGCAGCGGATTCATGAGCGGGCAAATATTTATCCCCTCTTGTGACTGAACTTTTGCCACTTCTTTCACAGGACTATTAATACATGGCAGCGTGATCAGCTCCCACGGCCTTTGTCCATGACCACCTGCCACATTGTTTTCAGCATCACACGCCACTTTCTGCTATCGATACAAAAAGGGAAGGAAAAATGGCACTGGCCACACAGCCGTTGAAAGGAGGGCAGTCGGTTTCACCTTCTTGTACGGTGGAAGAGACCAATATACGATGTGAGAGCTCTATGTAAAATTCAGTCACGAGGCTGTGGTGTTGGATCACAAAGCTGCAAGTACCAAGACCAACAAGACAGCCAAATGGTCTGAGGTTAGCTGAATCCAGGGGCTGACACACAAGCCAGAGGTTCACCCCTGACCTTATTTGTACCATGCTTTGCTCTGGTTCTTGCTCAGAATAAGCAGCATCTTCATGGTGATGTGTAATTTAAATTCCCCTTTTCATTAACATACAAAACAACAACAACAAAACTTCCACCTTTGACTCAAAATTTAAGAGTAGAGAAATTCAAGCCTGTTTAAAAATAAATATGATCCCAAATTCATAAAACAGAGCCCTGTGGGGTTTTTTTTTTTTGGGGGGGGGGATACTAGGAAAGTAAAATTCACATCAAAATAAATGTGGTAAAACTTAGAAGAAAAAAGAATATGTGTGAAGAAATTAATTACAGATGAATAGTCAAGGAATCTTTACTGACTTGTTCCACTATTCTTAATGGGTCTTTATTCTTCCTGTAGCCCCAAATAAGCTCCCAACCAAAAGTCCATCCAATGGGTCTTTGCTGGTCCCTACAGTCAGGGGGATATTGAGCAGAAAGGACTGTCTCCATGTGTTTCTTCTACATAGTTGATGGAAGTTTCAGAGGTAGAATGCTTTCAAATATTTACTCGTCACCTACTGGTAGCCAGGCACTGTTACATGCCCAGGGGTACAACAAAGGACAAAACCATGTACTTGTGTTCATGGAGCTTACCTTCTAAAGGGAGAAGATCAATAATAAACACAAACTAATAAAAATTTATATGAGGTGATATACAATGCAGGACAACAAAGGTTAAAGTTTAAGGAGTCCAGGGAATACTATTTTAGGGCAGTCAGAGAAGGGTTCTCTGATAAAATTAGCATCCAAGTGACTTGAGGAATGAGTCTAGATCAGAAGAGCGGAAGAGTTAAGTATATAGTCCCTGAGCAGGGGTGTGGCTGTGCAAGGACTGGCAAGGAAGCCCATGGGGCTAGAGCAAAGTGAGCAAAGACAAAGTAATAGGAGTTGAAGTCAGAGAGATGGCAAGAGCCAGATCTGCAGGGCTTTGTAGAATAAGCATAGGGACTTTGGACTTTTTATTCTGGAAAGCCACTAGAAGGCTCTAAGCAAATAACTAACACGATCTAATAGAGATTTTGAAAGGATCCTTTCAGAAATAGTGTTGAGAACAGTATAGGGAGCCAAAAATCAAAGCAGGGAGCCCAGTTAGCCTACTGCAATTGTCCAAGCAAGACATGATGGCAGCTTGGACCAGGTTGATAGATGGAGAAAAGTAAAGCTCAGGGAGGGCAAGTTAAGCGAGAAAAGTCAAAAGTCCTGTTTTTGGTATGTCAACCTCGAGATCTCCAAAGAAGAAAAAGTCCACTAAGCCATATGTAAAACAAAAGATGAATCAACAACAGTTACATACAGCTTATAAGGTA